ATATATATATATATATATATATATACAGAAATTCTCTTATGCGGACATCCGGACGTTATTATCGTGCGGACACAGTGTATTTTGTACTACCCCTCTCTGTTTTCCTGCCTGTTTACAATAGGATCCGCACGATAATAACGTGCGGACATCCGGATAAGAGAATAACTGTATATATATATATGAGAAGACATTTTTTCCCATCCCAAGTATGCCACGTCATCATTTTTAAAGAAAAGTTGATTGAGATGATGGAAATGACAATTTATGAAAGTGGAGACATAATTAATGTACCATCATAACAATTTAGCAATATGATGTACAAAAAGTAAAGTTTGATCTTAGTCTAGGGACCATTGCTATAATTTAGCCTATTATATATGTACCCAGTTGAAGAATATGATTTTATAGGAGAATAATTTCAATAGTTTGGCATTTGGAGGCCCCAAATTTGATTACAAATATTTTTGAATAGTCCAAATGAAAATTATGTAATATAAGAACATCAATTGCATGTATTTAAGTATTTAATTGCCAAAAAGTATTTAATTGCTAAAAGTAGCAATCAATGAAAGAAAGCCAATAGGGACTAGAAATTCTTTTATTTATCCAAAAATTCTTGTTAGTAGATTATTTAGTGAGGAAATATGAAAGAGTGCAAATTATTTGTATCCTCATTCTTGTTTATTTTCAGATTGGGGCAATGATTATATGACCAATACTGGAGCAGTGTTTATTTATCCAAATTGTATTTAATTGCATGATTTTTTTTCCATGTTAGTTTATTATATTTAGGAGAATGAAAGAGAAATGGGCCTCATTTTCATTTCTAGCCTAGGGCAGGCCGGCCCTGGGTTTAGGTAAAGCCCTCTTATGCGTTCAAGTTTCTTTGTTTTTTTTTCTTGGAGAACAAAAATCCTCCTATCAAGATTAAGTTTTCCCTTCTTATCGGTGAGTTGTTAAAGGTTTAAAAATACAAAAGAAAATAAAAGACGGAAGAAATCTCACAAATAAATGACTAGTAACTTTTACGTAAGCAAATATATGCAACCATTAACATAGACAAAATTGTCAAGGTAAGCGCAAAATAACCCTCTTTTGTGTACTAAATTCTCAAGGTAAGAACAAAATAAGAGGTACAACAGAAAACTGTGACTGAAAACCAAAAAACAAAAAGCCAGAAGCACAGCCAAAGTATGAAACAGACATCCTAAAAGTCTTTTTTTATACTACGAAATCGAGCAAGAAGGCGCATACCATTAAACAGTTAGATATGTTTGACAGCATAAATTGATGAAAAAAACAAAATGACAAAAAAACATTAAAATAGTACTTTCAAAACAGGATAATGAAAATCTGCCTCAAAAAGAAAAGCAAAACAAAATCATCTCCTCAGAGCAGATCCGCGACATTCGATGGCAGCTCCTCAATGACCACATTGTAAAACCTCTGAATGTCATAGAGCATTCTCTCGTCATCCCTAGTCACAAAGTTAATGGCAACACCCTTCCTTCCAAACCTTCCACTTCGTCCAATACGATGAAGGTAATTCTCTGGTTGGGTTGGCAAATCATAATTTATGACGAGAGATACCTGCTGCACATCAATACCACGAGCCAAAAGATCAGTGGTTATGAGCACACGGGACGAGCCAGAGCGGAATTCACGCATGATAATGTCACGAGTGTTCTGGTCCATGTCACCATGAGTAGCTGAGACAGTGTGGTCACGGCTTCGCATCTTGTCAGTAAGCCAGTCCACCTTTCGCCTTGTATTAACAAAAATGACACTCTGGGTGATGGCCAGGGTCTCATACAGATCACAAAGTGTCTCAAGCTTCCATTCTTCTTT